AAAAGTCTTCAAACTTTCTTTTGTCACCATTGAACGTTTAAACTCTTAACAGCTTCAAATATCGGTTTCGGTCGTCGTGGCTTCCGTGACTTTCGTTCAGCTGATCTTCTCTGACCTGACTTTGAAGTGGGACTTTGATCGCATCTTGTCCCACTTCAATTGTTCTTTGCACGTCTTTTTCTATCATTTCAGACTCTTTGTTTTTCTCAGCTTCTTCTTCGACATCGACAAAGAACGCGGACAGTACCTGTAAAATTTCTTGTGCGTTTTCTAGGGTTGCCCACAGGTACCGGTGTTCAATCACAATTGCTATGTCGTTATTTCGGAATCCCTTACGCACAGTCTTTCTAATTCATGTCTGAATTTTGTCACCTTTTTTTTTGCAGTACGTTTCCTTCTTTCAATCTGTATTAACCGAACGTCCTATCGCTTCTTTTTGTGGACTTCGCTCGGTCCAGTTTCGTCGTTTTTCTCGGTAAATTCGGTAACATCGCTATCCTCGGATTCGGAGGCCATAGCGCTCAACTCAGAAACTCAACTCGCAAACGAAACCTCGAACAAACAACAGCTCTTACCTTTCTCCCATCGTTAAGAGTGGCACGCTTAATTGAGTGAAAAATAAAACGATGAAAACGGTAACACAATAACGCGGTAAAAAACACCAACAACCTCGAAAAAAATGCGATTCTAGAAAAAGGTCAATACTACCAACTCCTTAATTGTCCGCAGGACTTGCTAACAAAATGTTTTAAAACTTACAGAAGAGCGTGCGATTTGTGAATAAATCGAAACGGTGAGAGCCATTCAGATTGCATGGATCACGAGTGATTTCAGATGGATGTAAGAGAGAAAAAAATCAAAGTGGCTACGAACCACTAAACTCAGAAAGTGGATCGTGGAGGGATGAGAAATCGAAGCCACTGAACGGACTTCGTAATAAATGTTTGGTTATGGCAGGTCATATTTTATCTATTTATGTGGATATCGTTGCTTTTTATAAACGGCGCCTGTTCTAGTTGATCCAAGTAGGCTCGTAGAAACCGGTGCGTACCCCGATACTTCGTTTTTAATATTTCTTTTTTTCTCCTCGTATTCGGGGGTGGTTACTCCAAGATCACAGATGGTTTCCAAAGCGTTCCTTGTAAGGCATTGTAGTAGCCTTGCCTTTTTCGAATGTACTAGCTCTCTTGACTCGTCTACGACAATTGTAAACAGGGCTCAGAAATCTTCAAACTTTCTTTTGTCACCATTGAACGTCGGAACTCTTAAAAGCTTAAATATCGGTTTCGATCGTCATGGTTGCCGTGACTTTCGTTCAGCTGATCTTCTCTGGCCTATTGCTCGTAGCGACTCGCTACGAGCAACGTCTGATGTGTTCTTGCTTAACGGACTTTGATCGCATTTTGTCCCGCTTCAATCCTTCTTTCTACGTCTTTTTCGATGGTTTCGGACTCTTCGTTACTTCCCAGCTTCCTCTTCGAATTCGACATAGAACGCCGACAGTTCCTCTAAAAGTTTCTTGTGCGTTTTCTAGGGCTGCTCACAGCTGCTTAATCACACTCTCTGTGTCCGTTTTTTGGGAATTCTTTACCCATAGTCTTTTAACTAATGTCTGAGTTTTGTCACCTTTTTCTTTGCTGTACGTTTCCTTCTTTCAATCTGTATTAAGAGAACGTCCTTTTGCTTCCGTTTGTCGACTCCACTCGGTCCAGTTTTGTCGTTTTTTCGCGGTAAATTCGGTAACATGGCCATCCTCGGATTCGGAAGCCATAGCGCTCAACTCAAAAACTCAACTCGCAAAAGAAACCTCAAACAAACAACAGCTCATGCCTTTCTCCCATTGTTAAGAATGGCACGTTTAATTGAGTGAAAAAATAGGACGATGAAAACGGTAAAACAATAATACGGAACAACTTCGAAAAAATTGGGATTCAAGAAAAAAACTCAAAACTCTCAACTCTCTAAAACTTGCACACGCAAAAATCGTCCGCAAGACTTTCTTAAATTTTTTTTTAAAACCAACGAAATTTCAAGTTCGGTAACTGTCTTCTTAAAAAATTGTCATGATTTTTCTGTATTCCGTTTGGAAATTGACCAATTATAATTTAGTATTTAAATCGAACGATGAACAACAGAATGATCCCAGAAATAAGTAATGGAAAAATGAGTACAAGCAAGATCAGTCGTATCTTTGCATGCAGGTAATAAATCGACAGATGCAACCCTCAGAGTCGATCACAACTAAAATATAATCTTTTGTATCCAGTGAAAAAGAGAATATGAATTGCATTAAACTGGACACCTGACGGTTTTGCTTTTGAACCAAATTTAGAAGTGTCAATGATAACGAGCTCCAGATGTTGCCAGAGGAAACATTTGAAAACCTTATCAGCTTAACTAAACTGTAAGTATATATCAGCTAATTGGTTGATGAACGTTATATGCGTGTTTGCTAGTATTCAAAGATTATGTATTTACAGTAATCATGATAGCAAATTTCTACTTTAACTTGAAAATCATGAACATGATAGTAGTACGATGCTTAGTCAACCATCATCCAGCTTTGCAGATTATGTTATGATAAGGATACATTGCGGGCTCGTGTGACGTAAGGGCAATGAACACTGAATTACCGAAAACTTTCCCTAACTGCTGCGATCAATTTTTTGCTTCGATTCACAGACGTACTGTTTGAACAGATTTGTTATGTCGGAGAATACAAACAAGCCAAAACATTGGTAGTCCCCGAGTATCATATGATGACAATCAATAATTACACAACTTTACTGAAGCGATGTTCTCTCTCCTGTTACTCATCTTCTCCGATTCGAACAATATATCTCCATTATCTTAAGCCTGGAATCTGATTAAGAGGTCGTCTCTGATGTAATTGGAATTGAAGAAAAGATATGAATAATGCTCACTGATTGGACGACTTAATCGCAATAAAAAAGTGGGTTTTAACTAAAATAAATGTTTGAAAAAAAGAATTAACAGAAATCTCTAACAAGTCAGCAATATCTGCAGGGAGTTTTTAGCGGTACCGAGGGGTTTTCCTGGTTGTTTGAAAAATGTCTGTATAAATTACCTTTTACTTCACACAGTTGGCACAATGATCAGCAGATACGTCTGGAAGTTCCGAAGCTACATTTGTCATGCTACTAAGGCAAAAATGGAAGCCATTTGGGTGATCGGAGATACCGTTGAGAAAAAGAACAGAAATTGAGTGATTATGAGGATTGTTAGGAAAGATATCGTCAATAGCTGAAGCCTTGTGTCAAGTCATTCGGGTGGGACACGTAATTAAGAGAAAGAACTTTCTAGAATACAACAACTTTAAAAATTCCTTAGTGGCATGGTGGTTCTCATAAGAGATAAAAAAAGGCCATGACTTTACTTTACTTCTAAGTTCCGCATGTGGTGCTGATAAGCTGCATTTGTTATGCATGCTACTAGGGCGCTGAGTTTTCAAACTCAGACCACACAAAGAGAGCCAGGTTTTTTGTCGCTGCTTCATAGCAAATGACAAGGAGCGCTCTATGCATTCTTAGCAATTTTACTATTAAATGACAGGTATATCTACGAGAACAAACTTAGCAGCCTTCATCCAGGAATATTCAAGAACTTAAAGTCCTTGGAACTTTTGTGAGTGGTTGTGGTTAGAATGATAAAATGATAGAAATCATTTTGATAAAGTTTTGTTGATGCTCACTTTTATTCCAAAATAGAATGACTTATTTGCAATAATGATATACGATGTAAAGGCTCCTTAAGAGATTTCATCAGGTGTAAATACTTACTGATGTGATTTCGAAGTTGTTAAGGACAGTTTGGTTCACGTAAGAGTTACTGCGGTTAAGACTCTTTTTACAGCTACATGCTCTTTTGTTCTTTGTCTGAGGTACAATTATCTTGAGGAGGTTTGGAAAATATCTGTATGAAATACTTTAATTCACCAGGCTAGTAAAAACATAGACAGATACTTCTCATATAGCGTTTACGCTGTTTCTTTTCTGTCTTTTTCCCGTAGTTACCATAATTATTTTAAAATTAACACTGATGAAGAAATTAGTAAACACTTTATGAATAACCACGTACAGTGCTGTAAAGAACAACTATAGAGAGGACACGAATAGCTACGTTATTATATTTTAGGCAGTGGTATAACACTTTTGTTGAAAAGCTAATGGCAATGCGCGGCCACTTATCGTCACTCCCCCTGTCACTTTTCTTCAGAATACTGACAGATGATGAAAAATTCCTCTATTTCATTTCTACGGTAGTCTTAGTGCTAAAAGGCGTTGTTTGTAGAAGAAGGAAACCTTTAGATGATACAGTACCTTATGAATGCAGAGAAACACTAAAGTGGTCAGAATAAACCAGGATGGTAAAGATTAACAAGTACCAGATGACAAACTGGAAAATTTAGACTAAATCTTCTTTTTTACAAACCAGGAAAAAGTTGTCTAATTAATAAAACCGCGAAAAATTTCGTGATTTATTTCAGTAGAGTAAGGCAGAAAGGATTAGTAGAATAATAACCAAAACTTTGCTAGGCTAAAACTTGCAGCTTTTATCATCTTTGCAGATCAGTGTTTGGAAATGAATTGAAGATGTTACCACAGGGAATATTCAATAACTTGAAAGATTTAAAGTATTTGTAAGTATAAAGTAATTCAAGTTGTTTTATCAACTAACGAATTGATCCTTTTGGAAACTGGCAACCTAAACTGAAAATTCAAGTAAGAGAAAACCATGGCTTTACTTGCGTGTGTTAGGAAGTTTTTCCTCTTGCTAGCTTCCGTGATAATGGGGTCAACGGTCTCGATATCATATGCCGCTGCGGTTTCCGGCAGTTTCGTGCGTTCAAGTTTTTATTAGAGACCGCTTTTAAGGTGGATCTCTAACTTGATATCTATTGCCTCTTTCAGAATATCGGTTGAAGGAATGTAAATGTTTAAGAGATACTATCATGACTGACTTCCTTCTAGTAGTTTTACTCTGGAAAAAGAAAGGGGGACTGTATCGTACAATTCCTGAATGTGCAAAATTCATCCTTCAAATTTAATACACCGCACATACGCACATAACACCGTATGCTCGTTATGACGTCTAAAGGTGTGATAAAGAACACTTAAAAGGCCTGCGTATGGATACGAACAACTAGCGCTGCATTATGAAGAGGTTTATCTCAGCAACTGAAGAAACAATGAGGATATAACAAGCTAGAACCATAAACGCATACACTCCACGTGTAATTGTAGCGTAGACGGCACCACTGTGGACAATATTGTCGATGAATAACCGGCCATAAGGCCAACAAACAAGTCTACCAAAAAAATGAAGAAAAAATAGATCCATCATGGACTACCGAACATGAGACCACAAAGCATATTTCGTTAGCTTTGTAGCGTTGAAGATATTCTTACACGCATCATACAAGTCTAAGTTATTATCGCCTAAGTTTTTATCGCATTCTTTGCCATCTTCCTCTGTCAATGATATAAGGATAACTAAACAAGAAACTACCATGCAAGTTTTCTCTTCAGCATTTCCTGTCAGCAGTCACCTCCTAAGCGTTTTTCTTTTTAATCTTGGAATGCATATTTGGAAGACGTTCTACAAAGTAAGGAAAGATAACGGCGATGACAGTGAGGACGAACGTAGCTTTTTATCTGTATATAAGTTAATCAATTTAAATTAACTGCAGGTTGCTATTCGACAACAAACTGCAAAACCTTTCCTCGACGATATTTGGTGACCTCACCTCCCTGACGATACTGTAAGTAACTTTGGCTCACAATCCTAAGTTGAAAAGGTTTCATTAATAATAACGTTGTTATGCAAACTTGGAATCCTACATCGGAGAGAACTGTGTGATCTGTGCTCACCAAGAATATGATATCACGTTCTTTCCCCTCAAATGTATTCTAAAGGTTAGAGAACTGGTATATCCGAACCAATTCTTCAGTTCTTTATTGTGCGCCCTATAGCTTAGCTATTTTAGGTATAAAGGATTTTTTCAATGTTTTGCAGGTCCTTGTCCGTTAACCAGCTCAGTCACCTACCACCGAATATTTTCAAAGAAAACAAAAACCTAGAGTGGTTGTAAGTAGAAAACGACTCAGTCTGTAAAGTTAAAGGACCTTTGTGATAGAAATACAAAACCGAAGGTGGAAGATGTTTGATTCAGAAAATAATTTCAAATCAGTATTCTTCATCTTTTCCTTTCTGGTGGGTCAGTCGGTGATAATAACACCATGGCAACACTGATCAACCAGTTTTCACGAAACGGACCTAAGGAAAACTCTACTTACAACATCTCTTCACTAGACTCTGATAATGACTTCCATTTAGGTTTTCAAAGAGTCAGTCACCACAACCGGCCCCGACGATCAGAATACATGATCAAATGCTACTCCAGGGTTCAAAACATTTATTGTATCATTTTTGTTTTCGTTTATTTTAGAGAGTTGAACGACAACAATCTCGACGAATTAGCTAATAACCTGTTTCGAGGCATGAGGAATTTAACAGGGCTGTGAGTGAGATCCTTTAGATCCATATAACTTACTGATTAAAGGAGTATTCTGACATGGGATTTAAACTTGTAACAGCAAATCCTGAGCCGGGTTGTTTAAAAAACAGAAAAACTAACCCGAGATTAGTGCAAATTTTTTATTTAGTTTTTATAGCTCTGCGAAGGGATTTATCTTTTTTATATTTTTTGGACTCGCTAGTTGCGAGTCATATTGGGAGAAGACCCAACAAAACCTTAGGTCTTATACACGCTCTTTTACAGAAAAATTAAAGACAAGGTTAATTTTAATCCTGCATAAACGTTGACCCCCTTTCGAACACCGCGGCCCTGAAGAAAGACGTTAACGATTTTTCGGACAGGCTAATCGGGCGATTGCGGTTTAAAGGTAAGCCAGCTCGCAGAGGCTGGCATTTGATCAGACTTTTAAACTTCTCAGTGATCATCCCAAATGATGTTCAAGATTGCAAATCAGCTCGTTCACTCATCTGTCAGTTTGTCGTTCTGCGTCTTTCTTGCCTATCTAGCTTGTTTTTCTGTCTTTATTAGACTGTTCCTGTTTTTCTTATAACCAATTAATTTTCTTGGAGTCTTTTTGATGTAATCCTTTGTCTGTTGGTCCATTCATGACTATTATCTAGTTTGTTTTTCTTACTCCTATATTGTCTGTCCGTCTATCTCTCCGTCCATTTTTTCACGTCCTGTCTGGATATCCATTGATTCTCTTGCCACTCTTATAGGTGGTTGCGCAACAACAAAGTGAAGTCGCTGACCCCAGATCTGTTCTCAGATTTAATCAATTTGGATGACCTGTAAGTGAATGCGTCGAAGATTAATTCTTTAGAAGCCGTTTGATCTACATTTCGTTACCGCCTGAAAAGTTACAATTAGCTAAACTTAGAATAAATGAGCCCGCTTGTAGCTGAAACCCTCTCCCTCTACCCTGAGGACAAACGGAAACTTTCCTCTTACTCTAGTCGTCGATCGTTATTGCCCGTAAGATCAGCCATGAAAGCCACCTGTTTACTATCTTCGATAGCGTGAAGGAAAGTATCGGACGATACGATTAACCAATAAAAAATCATTATATGTTTTCTTGCAAAAAAATTAACGTCACGGAAAACGATTTGTCTCAGGTTTTCGTAGACTTTCCCTCCCTTCTGTTTTTCCACGGGTGAGAGGGGAGGGTACGGCTACAATTAGGCTAAGAATAACTGTAAAAGGAACTTCAATCGCGGCTGACGGGAGGTGGTGGACGTCAGAATTAAACTGTTATTCTTAAATAACACCATTAACAAATATGTACTCTGGAAATATTGTAGCATTTCTACTCGACCTAAGAAAAAGGCTTAGCTGTTAGATTTTATTTCCTAAGAATTTGAAAGAAATATATATGATATAAGCGTCAAAGAAAATCAATCTGTAGCCAGATGTTAGCATACACTAATAATACACATGAAAAAATTACGCGCGTCTGATTGGCTGAAAACTGAAAACTAATGTATTGTTCATGTAACACGAGTACAAAATTGTAACGCGAGTGCATTTTGTTTGATGCTCTTTTTCATGTAAATCATTAACCAGTAAAAACATGATTTCTCGTGCAATTTGGTGTAATTAAGCACCTGTAAATATTTCTTACACCTCAAATTTCACTCGCCCTACGGGATTGTACAATTTTGTTGTCTATGAAAAGTTTACTCGTTCTTATTAACGTCAAATTGCGATCGAAATCATGTACCTATACTTGGATATATGATTGGATCAACAGGTCAAATGCAGTGAGACGGATGGAGCGTAAGCCTCTGAACCTCCTCCCCCACCCCACCCCACCTCTCTAGACCCGGTTGCAACGAAAAACAGCCCAGTTAAAAAATACTTTATGTCTATTTCCTGGGCTAAGTAGGATTTGTTTCTGTTGCGATTGATAAAATATACAACTGCTTTCAGGGATTTGTCAAATAACGAAATAAAAAATCTGCCGCAAGGAAGTTTTGAAGGTCTAACGAAGCTTAAAAAGCTGTAAGTGATTAATTGCATCTTTGCATTTCTTAATTTTGGAGAATGATGAAAACATCATTTTTTTTTTTATAAAATATAAGATCCAGTAGTACAAAAAACTTGAATAATGAATTTGACTTCACTCACTTTTCCAACCACTTTTTTCTTAATAAGCTATAGGGCTAGTGCTGTCATTGCGGGGTCTCCAAGATTGGAAAAAAAAGATAATTAAAGCAGATGTTCAAAATATTAAAATGTAAATAAAGTACATGCAAGAAGAACAAAGATTTGCTGATGTTTTTAGATAATACTTAAGTTATGAGAAATGTATATAAAGACCCTCGAGGACTTCAAGATTTAGAATTAAAAAAAAAAAGAAAAAGAAATTAATGGAGAAAACTGCTAAAAAGAATGAAACAAATTCGAAAGGGCTTTTAATGCACAAGATGTTGATACGAACATTCTAAATTAACCTTTCAGTTTAGTTATTTCTTTCAGAGGCGGCGGAGTGTTTTGAAACGTGGGGAGCTTATCTTTCACCCAGCCACGCTCGCACTCCAAATGTCCTTTGTGTTGTTTGCAATCTTTACAGTTTCGTATGTGTCCGTGAGCGATTTGTGACGTACTTTTATTTTGAGGCTCAGTCTTAAATCTTTCACCTGGGTATACAAAGTAAATCATGTCTATTAATTAATTACCTACACACGCTGGTTAGGTTCAAGTAAGCTTCTCGAACACAAGCGGAGCTGTTCAACAAAAGTTTCATTTCATTTTATTTCTCCAAGCGCGATGCTGATAGAAGGATTTTTGAAAAGATCCCGAGATTGAAGATTATGCTTTAATTCATGTTGCTCTAGCGATGTTTTCGACACCAAAACTTGCCCCCTTCCCTTCACTTCTCCGCTGCCTATGCTTTGTTTATCTATTTCGTTAGCTCCTTTCACTTAGTTAGTTCAAGTACAGTCTGTTGAACCTTTCTAATATAAATACCGTTGGTGACTACCTCGTTGTTAAGGAGGTCTTTGTTTTCAATTAAGAAAATATTTACAGCAAATTTAGATAAACACACTTGTTTTGGAAGAAGCAAGGGACTGCAGTAACACTAGTGTAATTAATAAGCAAAAAGTTAACCCTAGTTCCCCCTGAAACCGTTTGATAGCGAAACAAGACTTACGGTCAATTTGATAATTTCTTTTCCACCATCCTTGTTTTCTCAAGGGATTTATCAGGTAATCAACTCGACGAACTACCCGGAAACATTTTCGTCAACCTCACCAAGCTCTTGAATGTGTAAGTCATCAACCGCTACATCAAATGTCTTTTGTAAAGTGTTTTTCGCCGAGCTTCATACATTACTTGACGATATAACGTCCCAGAATGTAGTTTTGAAGGGTTTTTACTTTGTTCTTTACAGTAATCCAAAGCTTTCTTTGTTGATTTTTTATTGAATCATTTTATACCGCAGAAAACTGGACAAAAACAAGCTCAAGAGCCTCCCCAGGAATTTGCTCCATACTCTGGACAACTTAACGGGGCTGTAAGTTATGCAATTGGGTTAAAATATATCACTCATTTTATGAATAACATACGGTAATCTGGGCAAGCATTGATCTCGTCATCCAGTTCAACTTAATCTAATAGTTCTTGATTATAGGAATACGAATATGAAGACATATACCGACTCG